TGCTACATATTGAGGAATGGAACAGCCTTGAGAAATGCATAACTCCTACATAAACATGCTTTGAAGAAAGCACTCCTGGTATTACCTTCTGTCATTTGGAATCTAACTATAGGAACTATACTCCAGAAACTCTACTATAGCTGGCATGGAAGAACTGAATGTTTCTGCTTTCCGGGAGATCTGATCTCTCCCTTCATGTCCACTGCTCACAATGCTCATGTTCACCTTTGAGTTCTGAGTGGTCATGTCTGCCTGGCAGAAGTTAGATCTCATGAGGACCCAGGAGCTGCAAGGGAGTCTGGGAAATGTGGAGTTCAGTTTCTGGATTCAAGTACAGGAAGTCAAGCTATAAGGAGGTTATATAAATGCTTAAGTGCTCAAATCACTGTTTCACATTTGTTAAAGGAGCTGTGAGACCTCTGACCCTTTTCTCCAGCTGATTAAACTTCACAGATCGCATAGGCAGGTCAGGTGGGAGACAGGGCGACTGAATTAGCTGTGGGTCATTTCTTCTTAAATATCAGTATTAGGAATTTCAAAGGAGGAGTGGAGCTATCAACAAGGTACTAAAACTATAATATAAAATAGAAAGCAGATATATTAGACATTACAGCAAGGAACGAAGTCAATATTTACAAAACAAAGAACTAAGGGAATTTTTTTTTCTCAGTCTCCTAAGGTATGGCAATGGTACAGCCAAGAATAACAAAGAACAGGAACTAGGAAAAATGAATTGCAGTTTCTTTTAATTTCATTCATATATGAATCCTCTGTTCCTAGATTTTAAAATGAAAACAGCAGCAGGAACTTAGCTTTGGGCAAAAACTGGAAATAATTCAGGTGGTTATACTTCTTTGGATAAGATTTAATTTTTCAGGTCCAAATAAAGGTATTTCAGAGTAATGTAATGATAATCATGAATGAATGATAAGTGGGAGGGCATGATGATAACATTTTAAACTGATAATAAGATAGTAATTATTTCAGGGCAGGGGGCAAGTTCCTATCTGCTACATCTACAAATTTAGAATCATAAAATCAGGATGTGAAAATTAAAAGGAACCTCAAAACTAGTCTAATTGTTCACTGCAGGGCAGAATTCTTTCTACTGTCCCCTGACACATGATTCGTCTTCTATCATCTATTTGAATATTTCTGGGAACAAAGAACAAATTGCTGCATTGGTTATCAAATGAGAAATCCATTTGATTTGGTGTAAGTTTTTCTTAGTGAAGTCTTACCATTTATTATCCAGTGATTTTTGTTGTCTAAGTTCTCATACTCTATGTGATCTGCTCTTTTATATATTGAGGTACTTGACAAATTTATTAAACTTCTCAATAGGGGTGAAAAGATTTTAAAAAATCAATTTTAATGTGTCGTATATCTTCTGCTTATAATCAAAATTAAACATTTTAAGAGGATGAGCTCCTTGGGTTGTTTTCAACCTTCCCACCTAAACCCCCATTTAGTTCTCCAATGGTATTAAGCAATTGGCAGTGCTGAAAATTTTCAAGTCCGCAAAGAAAATAAAAATCCATTCATGTATTTTATTTTAAGGCAGTATATACTGAAGAAAAGGCATTTTAATGCATTGTATACTGAAGAAGAAAAGGCAATGGTTGTTTATAAGATTTATTTATACTGATTTACCTGTTACTGAAAGGATTATGAACTGCACTGATGTCAAAATCCCAGACAAATTCAGTTACATAAATACCATCAATTGTAAGATTTATCTCTTCCTGCCTTGACAATCATTCTGGCTAAGATTCTTTTGGCTTGTAAATGACAGAGAATCATTAAACTGGCTGATTCAAAAGAAAGAATTTATTGGCTTTTAAACATAACTGAAAAGGTGATTTGATTCAGACATGGCTGAATCCAGATACTCAGGATACGATTCATAATCTCTCACTGATTCCATCTCATGCACCTTTTGCTGACTCTTCCTCTTTGATGATGGTGATGATAGTCAAGTGCAGCTCCAAGTCTGTATGCCACCATTTAATCATTCCATCAGAAAGTAAGAATGCCTCGTTTCTATAATTCCAGCTAAAGTTCTCTGGCTAACTTTAATCAGCTCAACTCAGTTCACATGCCTGTTTCTGAAACTCTTCACTGTGGCCTGAGAAGCTGAATGGGCTGATTGGCCAGTGCGAGTGAGTGTACTGTTGCAAATGAGAAGGACTGAGGCTAATAGTGAACCGTGTAAAACTTCCAGCTGACCAGGCAGTGCAGCACCAGTTATTTGCTGGGCAAGCCTGGTGTTCTGCCTGGAGGAAGGGGTGTATGACTTTACTTTGCACAAAGATATCCTACGGACTAGCTGTGGCCTTGCAGCCATGTATGTGAATCCCTTGGACAGTGAGTAGGGGAGGGTGATCCTCTGGTTGCAAATCAAGTGCTCTTTCTATGCTAAGAGAAAATGGACACCGGGCAAACAGAGCTACCAGACGTACACTACAGAAAAAATGCCATCACACTGCTGTTGTTAGTGTGATTCTGAACGTTTTGTATTCAATTTAAATCTATTCAACTCAGCTCAATCCAATCCGACAATTACTGATCTCTCATTACAAGCCAAAAACTCTGTGTGTGTGTGTGAGTGTGTGAGTGTGTGTGTATTGGGTAGGTGGGTAAAGAGGCACTACATAAACAACAGCAACAACAACAACAACAACAAACAAAAGACAGAAGAGATCTGTCCCTTCAGTTCAGTTCAGTCTCTCAGTCATGTCTGACTCTTTGAGACCCCGTGGACTGCAGCATGCCAGGTTTCCCTGTCCTTCACTGTCTCCCGGAGTTTGCTGAAACTCATGTGCATTGAGTCGGTGATGCCATCCAACCATCTCATCCTCTGTCGTCCCCTTCTTCTCCCACCTTCAGTCTTGCCCAGCATCAGGGTCTTTGCAAATGAGTCATTTCTTTGCATCAGGTGCCGAAGTATCTGTTCCTTTAAGGAGTATATATATTCCAACTTTATACCAACTTTGAAATGTCTTTTTTTTAAAGTCTACTTCGATATAATAATTTGAAAAATTCTCATGTAAAATCAAAGATGGTAGAGTGTAAATATTCCTTTCGTTGCTTTTTAGAAAAATAATTGGCACTGTTAACTGATTTACACATCTATGGTATGTTCAAATATGATTACATTCTGGTGAATTTACAAAACTGAGGGAAAAATAAGTATTGACTTAATTATATTTGTTGTGTTATATCAATCTTTACTTCCTAATGTTACTGAGTGTTTGTACTGCTTGCCACATGCCAGGCCAATAAATCAAGAGATGAGGTGTTGGGGCAAGGAACAGTGACTCTATTTGGAAAGCCAGCAGGCCAAGAAAACAGCCCAAAGAACCATCTTAACCAGTCAGAATCCAGGCCTCTTTTATACTAAAGGGGGAGGGGGTATCCTTGCAAACTTCTTGGTGCAAAGTCCTTGTTCTTGCAGCTGTCCCCATGTGATGCAATGCTTTAAAAACCTCAAACAACACAATCATTATTTTCTGTTCAGCAGCTTTTTACCTCTGTTATGAAGGGGGAAGTGCTATGAAATGTCAGAGCCTTGAGAGGGGGCTATCCTGTATATTTCAGCTTATAGGTAATAGCTGTTTCAGGAAGGCTCAGAGTCAGCATGACTCAGCACAGAGCTCAATGCTGGGGGTAAGAAAGCAGATCCGACATGGAGTCAGGTTTGTTCTCTGTTACACTTAACAGTCTGAAATAGCAGCTAAATAGGCAGCTGGTAGAAGGTTATCTTATGTTTTCAAGTGATCTTTTAAGTACGGTTTAGCTTTATTTTAAGATTATTGCTAGTAACTCAGAGTTTGCTTTAAAAATTGAAATAAGCCTTTTATTTCTGTGAAGAAAAAAACTTACCTGTGTTCCCTCCAACGCCCCCAACACTGTTTTAACACTGCATATATTAACTTTCAACTCTGGGGAAAGCAAAACAACACCCAAAAAACGCCCAAGCTTAATATTATCTAGTCAAAGTTAAACAATGGACTAGGAGCATGAGGAGAAAGACAAGCAGTAACCAAATGCCAAATGGGATCTGTTTTTATTTCAGCATTTAGGGAGTATCGGTGAGACCTACCTCCTTCTAAGCCAAAAACTACCTAGCACCCGAAAAAATTTGTCCGGTTCCTCCCAGATTAAAGTGAACAGGATTTAAGTGAGTACATACTTAAGGTTAAGTGAGTAAATACTTGCGGCGGGGAGGAGGTAACCACCACGGTGGAACTTGGGGACTTCTTGTTTGTTTTTTGCTTTCAACGCAGCAGCCCAGGGCGTTTCTGTTCCTTGGCCAGCAACAGGGAGATCCTGCGTTTAAGGCCACGGCCCACCTGGTTGGGTCTGGGAGCGAGGGAGATGAGGATTCAGGCCGGCGCGGCGCGGGGGTTGAGAAGTTAAGGGGCGGGAGGTGGCGCGCCGGGGCCGCGGCCGCGCCATTTGCATTTCAATGAAGCCCGCCTGTTGACTCAGTGCCCGGCGCTTCCGCAGCTCCCACCAGAATCTGCCTTTGTTGGTTTTAGCTCCGGTCAAGTCCACTTCTTGCAACGGGGGAGCCGCGCGCATTGAGTTTGTGTAGTCAGGCAGAACACTCGACAGGAAGGAAGGAGGAAGGGGTGCTCCGCGCGGCCATTGTCTGGGCAACCGGGCTTAAGCAGCCGAGTGACTATTTAATCTATAAGGTGCACTTGAATCCCTTGCAAATCCTCTCAGTGTGGAGCAGGGAGCACCCAGACAGGGACAGACGGTGCAGAACCCTTTTGTTTAAAAATATGGAAATGCGTTTTCTTTCATTTGCTTAAGGTGGTCCCTCTCTTTTAACTGGTACTATTCCCCCTGTTGCATCGTCCAGGAGAGACCCGAAGATACTCTTAGGTCTGGTCAGCCTGGCCTGAGCGGTTTTTTTTTTTTTTAATATCTAATAGTTGGAGGTGAGTTTTCTGTGTTTGGCAGAATTACAGTAAGGATCCCTCTTACCTTTTTGGTGTCTTCTGAGCTTAGGCAGAGTGCATCCGAGGACATTTGTTTAAAAGTCTTGCAAGATCACTTTTCAGAGGCTCCCTTCTTTTTTCACAGTAAGCATCAGATTCGTAGACCTCAGGGTGCTTCACATGCACCGGGGAGTGGAGGGAGAATGCCCTGCTCTCAGTGCCACCTGCTGCTTTGCACTGACTTCTTGGGCCAAGAAGCGTAGTGAAGGGTGACCCACTTGGGTTTCCAGAGCCGGAAGGATGCTGTGGCTCGGGGCCTCACACGTGGTTCAGCTTCCACAGCTGTCATTTAGAGGATGTTCAACATCAACCTGTGGAAAAGTGCACATGTTTGCAGTATCTTAGAAAAGTGGAAGGCGCTGCCTACAGAGCCCTTGAGCTTGCTGACATGTCACCAGACGGATTTTCTGATCATCCTGACAACAGAGAGGAGTACATTTTTATCCGGTCTTGAAGCGCACTTGGAAACATTAGAACCAACCCACCTTAGTCTAAAATGAGGCCAACCAACTGTCCACGTGGGCTTACTCTGGTGGCTCAGCGGTAAAGAACACACCTGCCAATGCAGGAGACCTGGGTTCGATCCCTGGTCCAGGAAGATTCCCTAGAGAAGGAAATGGCAACCCATTCCAGAATTCTTCTGGGAGAGCCCATGATCAGAAGAGCCTGGCGGGCCACAGTCTGTGCTGTGCTGTGCTCAGTTGATCAGTTGTTTCTGACACTTTTCGACCCCGTGGACTGTAGCTGCCAGGCTCCTCTGTCTATGGAATTCTCCAGGCAAGAATACTGGAGTGGGTTGCTATGCCCTTCTCCAGGGGATCTTCCTGACACAGAGCTCGAACCTGGGTCTCCTGCATTGCAGGTGGATTCTTTACCATCTTTACCATCTGAGCTACCAGCAAAGCCCAGGATACAGTCTGTGGGGTGGCAACAGAGTTGGAGGTGACTTAGTGACTAAGCAACAACAGCAGAAAGTGTCCACATATATGACCTCTTTCTGGTTCCAGCTTTGGTTTAAAAGGTAGCAGTTGGGGTCCTGCTGGACTTTTCTATCTATGGTAATACAAATCAATTAAAGGAAGTTTTGAATGGATAGCTGGCAAAAAAATCAGATAATTTTCCATTTCAGCACAGATTACACAGGAAGCAGATTATTGGCTTGTGGTTTTGAAGGTAGGATGAAACCGACACATTAGAAAATAGATTATTGAAGTATTTTAATCTTGAGGTGCTTATAAATCTTGAGCATCTTAATACATTTATATAAAGAGAAAGATGTCTGTTTGGTCTGTAATTCTGATGCAAACATTTGACTATGTGAAATGCTCAGAAGTCAGCTGTCTTTTACCTGCCATATGACTGCAGAATCTTTGCCCTCCAGTTTTTCTGACACGCTTTAAGAGTACAGACAACATATATACAACACCTGGACCTGTGAATAATTAAATTACTATCTAGGCCACCATCAAGAGGCTTTCTAAGTGGCCAAGTGCAAGGATCTTCTGTTTCTTATCCAGATATCAAAACCCCAAGTCCATGAACTGATCCTTCACTGTGAATTCCTGCTTCATTTCTACTTCAGCCATTTTAGAGCAGTAAAGAGCCAGAATAAGGTGTCAGCCAGCAGTATAGCTTACACTTTATATTTTTTGAAGAAAAACCTATCTAAACTGGTTTCAGGCTATCTTGTTAGAAATTAATTAAAACTGTGGGGTGGGGCAATGTTTTTACATGCCTGAGCATTGCACAGTAAACAAATTTGTTTAGAATTTCAAAAGTTAAAAGAGAGCTTTGCTTGGAGTTTTAAAATTTTCCAGGTTTTTCTTCCAAATGGTGAGAAATAGAGTAAAATATTATTATTCCATGGGCAGGTGTGAGCTTGAGCATGTTAAGTTTCTTGGCTTTCTTTTGGTTTTACATAATGAGCCTTTTGTTGGACTTCATTACAGTGATGGTCTCCCTCTCTGATTCTGATTAAAGCATGAAACCCCACATACTCACTGATATTTGTCATTTCGTTTTGGTTGGTAAGTGAATTTTGGTGATGAAACTGTGAAGCCACAAGTTCCCCAAAGCACTGGAATGCAGTTAAAAGGAAACTGCCCCATGGGACAAAGAGTTTTGATTTAAGTTGAACCTGTGGCTTCATGCTCACTCATGTAAATGGTGCCCATTCTTCTAGATTGGGGATTCTCAGGATGTTCTTAAGTCCAATGTGTTGTATTGTGCCACAGTCAAAGGTCAGAGAATGAGACTATGTATTCCCATAGGGAAATGAACTTCAGCAACTGACCCTATTTATAGGAGAGGATTTGGCCAGCTGGGACATGAATTCAGAGGCTTTAGTTATGAATCAACTCCTGTGAGACTATCATGATCGGGTTGAAGGTGTTCCAGTTGAACTGTTACCTTTAGTTTCTGCATCACTTGGGTTTGTCCGAAGTGAAAGTGCTTATGGTGACCTTCCGTCCCAGACAGAGGATTGTTTAGAAGTGTGCACCAAAATTTCTATTTGGGTGTAGACTTAGCTTAGGAAAGTTCTTCAAGTCATAGCTGTTTCCCACTGCAAGCAGGATACATTCCCAGATACCAGTGGTATAAGATTGGTGTTGTGTCCTTACCTGATCTATGCAATGGTTGACAGTATTAACTGCTTCCTGTTTGAGAAGCTCGCTTCTTGGTGATAGAACTCTCTGGGACTTTTCTCCTATCTCCCTGGCCTCTCCTTCTTAGTCTCACTTGCAGACTCTTTTCCCATACTGTGCTCTTGTGTGGGTTCTGTCTTTGGTTCTCATTTCTTCTGTGTATTCTCCTTGGTGAGATTTCTAGGAGACCTTTCTTAAACACACCGTGTGTCCTCCGGCCTCAGGGCCTTTGCACATGTGGTTCTCTCCACTTAGAATGTTCTTTCCCTGGACTGGGGATACCTGGCTTATTTCTTTATTTGATTCTCTACTGAAATGTCACCTTTCAAATGAAGCATCCCTGGTTAACCGTAGAAAATAGCTGGTACCCAGTCAGGGTCAGACCAGGATAAGGCAGGCAAGCAAGGTGTCCAGGGCACACAAGGAGGCAGGTTCAGGGTCACACCTGAGAAAGTGTGCCTCCTTACACATTTCCCTGGGGATCTTGCTTGCCTCACCTGTCCTACCTGTACTCAATCTCTCTCTAGTCTCTTTCTCTTTCTTCAATTATAACATATATATCACTGATAATTGTCTTGTCTCTCCACTCTTGACCCACTCACACCATTAAAATGTAGGCCATGTTGGAGCAGGACCCTTGTCTAGTCTTGTTTTTTGCTGTGTCTTCAGAGCCCAGAACAGAGCTCAGGATGTAGTAGGTATTTGTCATTTATTTATTTTTAAATGAATATAGTGTATAAATGCCTCCTACTCATATTATTGAGACTCTCCAGTGCACAAAAACTAGGTTTGTAAATGAACCTCTCCCTTTGGACATCCCACAAGCTTTTCAAACTCACTGTGTCCAAAACTGCACTTATTACCTTTCACTCCCAAGCCTACCTCCCACTTCAATTTTCTCCTCTGATGAAATAGGACCTCCATCCAGCTCAGATGAAAATGCTAGAGATGTGGTAACTCGGGACTATCAAGTTCACTCCCTACATAGCTCCTCCCTTCCTCCATTTCCCTCCCTGCTGCCCGGCTTTAGTTTAGCCTCTCCTCCCTTCCTCCCGGAAAAGCTGCCAATCCCTTTCCAGCTGAACTCCTAGCAAATAGTGCGTCCTCTGCTTAAAACTTCTGGCACACCGCTGTAATGTGCCCTCTAAACCACATACCTGATCATGCCCCTTCCTTATCTTCAGATCCTTCCCTGCAGCCTTAGAGGTTTAGAGGTAAAATTCGGATTTCATAGAAAGAGAGGTGATGGGTCAGCTGACTCCGGGCTGGATCCCGAGAGTCTCTTGGCTGTGCCCTCCCTGCCTTCCTGCTCCTGTGATCTTACCCTCTCTCCCCCTACATGATGCACATACTTGGTGCTCCAATCTCAGAGTACTTGGACTTTTGGAGTAATCTACCCTCCTAAATGCTGCTGTACCATTGCAAGGCTCACCTCTACCTATCCATTCATCCTAGGTGGAAAGGGCAATTCGAACTTTCTTCCGTCTGTCAGGTTATTTTGTAATTTTCTGTTTGCTTACCCTGCTCCCCATCCTACTGTGGGCACCTTAAGGGCTGGAACTGGGTTTTTCATTTTTGCACACCCAGCATAGAGTTGGCCCTTCATGCCGTTTGTTGAGTGAATGTATTTGTGTGTGTGTTCAGTCGCCAAGTTGAGTCCGACTCTTTTTGACCCCATGGACTGTAGCCCCACCAGTCTCCTCCATCCATGGGGTTTTCCCAAGAATCCTGGAGTGGGTTGCCATTTCCTCTATCAATTCACTTAAAGGTTATTTTTTATGTGGGGTAAGGTATAGGTCACAATGACTCTTGCTTTACTTGATATCTGTTTATTCCAACATTATTTTCGAAAAATCCTTCCTTACTCCCTTGTGTGAGGAGCTTACTTTGTCATATATTACATTCTTAAAAATAGTTGGATGTAATTTCAGTTTTCCATTGTGTCATCTTGATTTACGCATCCATTCCTGCATCAGTAACACACCAGCTTAGACTTCTTCAGCCACTTTTTTACCAGAATGTGTGTGTGTGTGTGTGTGTGTGTGTGTGTGTGTGTGTGTGTGCTCAGTTGTGTCCAGCTGTCTGCAGCCCCATGGACTATAATTCGCCAGGCTCCTCTGTCCATGGAATTTTCTAGGCAAGAATACTGGAGTGGGTTGCCATTTCCTCCTTCATTTACCAGAATATTCTCAGTGTTTTGTCCCTGAATTCTGTCATGAGGAAGTAGAGTGATCAGCTTAAAAATGTGGCTATACCTTGACACTAGTATTTGACATGATGTTTTTCTTATCTGGTTACGTTTTGTTATTATTATCTGATTACTCTTAAACTAGCAACTAACCAACTTCATGATGAGAATATAATGAGGAAGAGTTCTGTTTTTTCAAAATGAATTTTTCTATGTATTTTTCTATTTTCCTATGTACATTTTGGTATCGAGTGTTTTATTGATTTTTTAATACAAAAATCCAGTGAGAGTTTTAATTGGAATAGTTATCTGAAAATTCATTTTGAAAAAACAGAACTCTTCCTCATTATATTCTCATCATGAAGTTGGTTAGTTGCTAGTTTAAGAGTAATCAGATAATAACAACAAGAAGTAACCAGATAAGAAAAACATCATGTCAAAAACTAGTGTCAAGTTATAGCCACATTTTTAAACTGATCACTCTACTTCCTCATGACAGAATTCAAGGACTCATTTCATTATATGCTCTTCCTTTCCCAGTAAAAGATGACCTGTCCAACAAGCTAACTTACTTGTCTTTTAAAACTCCCTTATAGAGATAGGCAGTATCTTTCATATACCATTTCAGTGTTAGATGGAATATTATGAGTGGAATATTTTTCCCTTTGTCTGATCCTAGTATTTGAAAACAAATTCATCCTATTTTCGTGAGAAACAGCTGGCTACTATACCATTTCCACAGACTTTCCTTATACTTTCAACTGGTAACAGGGAAATATATCTTTAGCTCAGTTTGTCTGAAAATTTATTTTGTGGGACCTTCTAAACATCCATAAATTTTACACAAACCAGTCGAGCATTTTGCATGATTAATCTTCCGTTGTTTATCTAATGTGGGATGCTGCACACTACCCCGATCTCTGATTATAAAGAGAGGGCCATAACCTTGGGGGAGTCTGGGCTTAGCGTTCACTGTGTCATCAGCCTTTCTCATCCCCATGTTTGTATTATGGGATTAAAATCATCGTCATTTTGTTTTTGGCCTTGTTCAAGTCTCTAGTGTCTTTTTTTCCCCTTTTTTACTGGCAATAGAGTCTAAACTTTCTAATTTAAGCGAAGGGGTTTATGAGCCCCTGGGGCAAAGATTTCATTCCATAGCCCTGAAGTTGGAAGCAGGGAGATGATTTGGTTCATTGATTTCTCTTCTGTTTCTTTCCAGTTCTCTAGCCCCTGATCCCTATCTGCTGGGGGAGTAGTTAATAATTTTTACTTCTATCCTCTGGCTTTCAATTAATAAGTACTCAGGTTATCTGATTTAAGGCATGCGTTAAGGTTGTTTAGCCGCTTCCATGGGCCCTTAGCTACATTGTATTTCAGGTAAAGTCATTAATAGTGTATAAGGATGACAAAACGTGTTTTACATTATCATGAAATTATTTAGTTTTTAAAGCTGGTAAATTTTATAAAAATTGATATGCTTTTAAAAGGTTACCTGGAACCATAGCCATGGAAGTTTATTCTGACTCCAACCAACGTCCGTGCTTTTTTTAAACTGCTGGAGACAGCTGAGTTTCAAGTCGCTGTCGATCAAAAACAAACAACAAACAAACAAACCCAACTCACGCAGTTGGACTATGGTTCTCTTGCTTTTCCTCCATTCCTCTGGCAGGAGAAAACAGCCTCCTATGCAGAAACATGAACAGAGCAGGTCAGTTTTTGAACAGAAAACAACTTTTTAAAACAACAAATGCACTCAGGGTGCATGCCCTGGCCTGCTGAGGTCCAGTTCAGCACACGTGCAGAATTTGTAGGAGACAAAAGGTAACATAATGTGTTTGTCTTCTACAGAAATGACTTTGGAAAGCTCTATTCTTATTTCAGGGATGCTGCTATTACTGAAGATTCTTGGGCTTTGTTTTTGGAGCACTCCTTTAGGAAATGCTTTTAAACTATCTAACCCCATGTGTTTCCCCAGTCTGCCTGTTTATTGTCAGCCCTGCACCCTGTGTCCTAAATGTCCTTACTGTCTCTTAATCTTGACTAGGGAAACATTTTCTCACTAGTTTTATGCCCAGTTATTATACTTCTAAAATTAATTTTTGTATGGTTGCTAAAATTATCTTTTTTTCCCCCTGACCATATCCTTTAGCATGTCATGACATTCAAGGCTTTCCACAGTCTGGTCGTGTTCTACTTTTCTAGCCTTTTCTTCTCTCTGTCCCCTCCACAAATCTTAAACCCAGCCAGTTATTAAAATTTAGACTGACCTCCCATCTACATTTGCCTGGCACAGTCTAGGTTATACATCTGTCCTGGGGTCCTGTCTCGTTTAACCTTTTTAGCACTTTCAAAGGTGTCCTGGTTTGGATAACAAATTATATGGTCACTCCTTTGTATTTTTAAACAAATTTATTGAGACATAATTACATACCATTGTTTACCTGCTAAAGTGTACAATTCGGTGTACACGTACAGAGTTGTGAGACCATTACTTTGATGCAATTTTAGAATATTTTTATCACCTCCAAAAGAAACGTTGAACCCATTAGCAGTGATTTCTCATCTTACCCCCATTCTCCCCACCTCACCTCCCAGCCTTAGGCAACCGCTAGTCTACTTTTTTCCTTCTACACATTTGCCTATTCTGAATATTTAACATACATAGTATTTTACAATATGTGTTTTGTGTGTGTATGTGGGGGATTTCCTTCACTTAGCATAATGTTTTTGGTGTAGTATGTAGCATGTGTCAGTATTTCATTCATTTCTATGACCAAATATTGTTTCACTGAAGACGCTATATGACACTTTGTTTATCGATTTATTATTTGAAGGACATTTGGGTTGCTTCCAGTTTTTGGTTACTATGAATAATGCTGCTATGAACATTAGTGTACAAGCTTTGGTTGGATATATGTTTTAATTTCTCTTGAGTATATACCTGGGGTTGGAATTGCTTGGTCATATGCTATCTATATGTATAGCAGTTTGAGGAATCGCCAGACTTTTCCAGAGTGCCTGTTGCTCCATTTTACATTCCCACCAGTGATGTGTGAAGATTCCAGTTTCTCCACATCCTCCCTGACATTTGTTGTTGTGTCTTTTTTACTGTAGCCATCTTACATGTGAAGTGATGCCTCACTGTGATTTTGATTTACATTTCCTTAAAAAGTAATGATGTTGAGTATCTCTTCATATACTCATTAGACATACGTTTACTTTCTTTAGAGAAATGTTTATTCACATTTTTTGCCTATTTTTAAATTTGATCATTTGTCTTTTAATTGGGGCTTCCCTGGTGGCTCAGAGGTAAAGAATCTGCCTGCAATGCAGGGAGAACTGGGTTTGATCTCTTGGTCAGGAAGATCCCCTGGAGAAGGGAATGGCTACCCAGTCTAGTATTCTTGCCTGGAGAATTCCACAAACTAGGAGCCTGGTGGGTTACAGGCTTCATGGTCTCATAATTATTGGGTTGTAAGAATTCTTTATGTAGTTTAAGTCCCTTATCAGATATATGATTTGCAAATTTTTCTTTCGCTCTGTGGGTTGCCTTTTCATTTTCTTGATGGTGTCCTTTAAAATTCAAATGCTTTTCATTTTGGGTTAGTCTGACTTAACAATCTTCTCTTTGACAGTGTGTGCTCTTGGTATCATATCTAAGAAATCATTGCCTAACCCAATATCACAGAAATTTATTGCTGAATTTTCTTCCAAGAATTTTTTAATTTTAGAACTTTCATTTAAATCTATGATTCACTTTGAGTTAGTTATTGTGTGTGATGTAAAGTTAGGAGTCCAAATTCATATTTTGCTTGTGGATTTTCAGTTGTTTTAGACCATTTGTTGAACAGACAATTCTTCTTCCATTAAATTGTCTTGACCTCCTACCTCTATGCGTTTTAATAGTTTATTTATATTATTGCCTTGACTTAGAATTGTTTTATGTTATTCTTCTCTTCCTGTTGACTTCTTAATAATTAACTGCTTCAAGATTTTATATATGTGAGTATATATATATATATATATATATATACACACATATGTATATACACACATACATATATGCACATCTTCTTTATCCATTCATCCATTGTTAGGTTGTTTCTGTATCTTGGCTATTGTCAATTATGCTAATGATGCTACAGTAGACATAGGGGTGCATGTATCTTTTCAAATTAGTGTTTTTGTATTCTTTGAATGCGCTTCCCTGGTGGCTCAATGGTAAATATATCTGTCTGCCAGTGCAGGAGATGCAGGTTCAAACCCTGGTCCAGGAAGATCCCCAGGAGAAGGAAATGCAGCCCACTCTAGTATTCTTGCCAGCGGAACCCCATGGACAGAGGAGCCTGGTAGGCCACAGTCCACAGGGGTGCAAAGAGTCAAACACAACTTAGCGACCGAGCAACAACAAATTCATTGGATAAAAATACCCAGAAGTGGGTTAGCTGGATCGTATGGTAATTCTAATTTTTGAGAAATCTCCATACTTTTCCCCACTGGGCTCTAATCAGTGACAGCATTTTTTAAAGAATTTCTCCAGATTCTCTCACTAAGGAGGACAATTTGTAACACCAGGGTAGGAGTTATGACTGAGGGATATTGCAGAGCATTCTGTAACTCACCTCATATGGCGCTTCCCTCCCTACTCTTTGGCCCGTGAACCCAGGTTTAGTGTCAGGGTTCCATGTGGTAGACCAGAAGCTGAGGCAACATCTCTCGAAGGTCACAGTTAGAAAACCAAACCACCAGTAGAAAAGCACATTCTTTTGGGCCTGTTCCTTGTTTATTAGCAGAGCTTGGTTGCTCACACTTGGCTGTCATTATTTAGGTTACTTTGAAGGACAGGAGGAGCAGAAGTCTGAGGAGATTTGTGCTAACAGACTTTGTATCCTGTATGGATGTCATATATATATATATAAATTACACTGCTCTTTTGCAGGCTTCTATGGTCTCCTGGTCCACAGCTCTAAAGGCAAACCTAAAGAGCTAATGGTCAGGAAAATCAGGCTCAGCTCTAAGCCTGTGCTTAACCAGGACTTGTAGTATAAGGCAACCAGTGCTGAGACAGTAGAATTCCATTGTGACCTATTGTCCGGAGATGAGAAAACACCCATGTTACTGGGTTTCAGCATCACAATGAGAGAGCTCACTTTACACTCCTGCAGCCCCTGGGGATGTGATTTAATCTGCAATATTACTGAATCCCTGGAAAAGTCAGTTGTGGTTCTCATATGGACTTTTACTATATTTATTCCAAATAAAAGCAACAAAAATTCATATGACTTTTATAGGTTGTCAAAAGAAGAGCTAGTCAAGTGTCAGCGTTGTATAATCACATTCTTCTCAAAGTATGTATGTGGCGTTTGAACACTGGAAAGGCAGCGTTACAATGAGGGGGGTGGAGGGGGAGTTTGTTGTTTTGGAATGAGTGAGTGGAGGCCAGATCATAAATGGCAATGAAAACTTTCAGCTCAGAGATGTGCAGATGGGCTTTCTGCTGAAATGACTAACAGCTCTTGTCAGATCAGCAAGTAGTAACCACAAAACACATGTTCTGTGTGTTTAAATTCACATTTATTAAGTTAAATAATTGCTAATTTACATAACAAAAATTTAATTCTCATATTTTTCAGAATTGATACAAGACTTAACATAGTCAAGAACTATAGTCAGTTGAGTAACATATATCTTTATTAAAATTAAATATCAAATGCTAATCATTATCCAGAGGTGGAAAGGATACTTGTACAATTATCAAAATGTTTAGGATTCTCCTGTTCTGATTTACATAAGTTAGAATATCCAAGTTGATTAAAAGTGTGTAGTACATAAAAGAAAGCCTGGATGATTTTCACAAATCTTGCTATTTATCCAAGTATGGCATGCTTAGCAAACCCCGATCAGGGAACAAGTTCTCATGTAACAAAAATAAAAGTAAACCATAAAGCAATTCATACATTTCCTGTTTACTGAGAGAATAATTTTCTATTTGTTTAGTCATATCAAGAAGATCTCGTTAGGCATATACATACATAGGAAGAAAGACATATCCTGCACATTGTTACTTTGTGAACTTCCATTATTTACCAGCTGTCCAATATTATTTCACGTTTCTTGAAGTTGTTCTGGAGAGCCAGTGAGGAATGGTCTCTCAGTAAATGTATGAAGTTTCCTGCGAGAGATAGGACCTGAGGCTAGATGATCCAGTCTCAAATGTTGGGGTGGAGCTTGTTCAAAACATAGATGTCTGGCCCTACAGAGTCTGTATTTTGACCAAGCTCACCTAAATGATTCTTCGTGCGTCTGTTGTGAATTACTGATATAGGTGATCTATAAGATCTTTTTCAACTTTAAAGTCATATGATCTTGCAAAACAGCAAATAAAATGATCCCTCAGTATTCACAGCAGGGGATGGAGTGGGGGGAATTGGTACCAGGACCACCCCCTAGCTCCCTCCCTGCCAATCCTGCCCCCCACCAAAAAAAATTCCCAGGTGCTTGAGTCCCTCTTATAAAATGCCCTAGAACAGTTGGCCCTCTGCATCAGGGCTCGGCATCTACAGGATCATCCATGGTTGGTTGAATCCAAGGATGTGTAATCTATGAATATGGTGGGCCATGGCTGGGGGTGGGTGTGTGTGTGGAGGGGTGCCCAGCTGTATGTGCCCTGAAATATCTCGAGATATAGAAGCTCAATCCAAAAAAATAACACTTATTTTGAAAGTCTCTTATAAAGGAAACCAACATTTTGCCCTTCTCCTCTCTACTGACTTAGTGTCCCTTTCACAGTCTTGAGTCCTACTTACATGTAATTCACATGACCCACAGTTTAAGGGCATATAGGGTAAGCTTCATAAAGTGGATCAGTTTAGGGCTCAACTGCCCTCCCCTCCAATGTGTCAACCCACCACCTGGAAAGTGTTAGTGTTAGTTGCTTTGCCATGTCTGGCTCATCACAACTCCGTGGACTGTAGCCCACTAGGCTCCTCTGTGGAATTCTCCAGGCAGGAATACTGGAGTGGGTTGCCATTCCCTTCTCCAGGGGATCTTCCCCACCCAAGGATTGAACCCCGGTCTCCTGCATTGCGGGCGGATTCTCTATCATCTGAGCCACCACCACCACCTGGAAAGGGATAAGGCTAATCCACTGAGAGCTGTTCAGAAGGTTTTTGTGAAACAAAGCAAAAGTGCTCCTTGCTTTTGAAAGTGTTGTTTTCCCCATTCTTAAGACCTTGCTATGGTCATAGCAAACTGCAGGGGATTCAAATCAGAGACCTTAGGAGGCTGAAGGGCCAGGCCTGAGCAAGCCCAGACTATTCTGCCAAAGCCCACATGGAAGGAGATACCTTTCCTCTGCTCCTTTCCAGAGCGCTAGAACCTGTTTTCCATATTAGTGGAAATTAAATCCATAAGACAGGGCAGTGTAAAATAAAACTCCGGGAGGGAGGGTCAACTTAAAATAGTACCCATTTTCTAATTTAACCTTTTATTGCCAGTGAAACCAACAGTGCCTCTGGAGTGAAATTCTTTCATGAACCTTGGAGAAGAGAACCTTCCATTTTTAAATGTTGAATATGTCTTTGCCACAGAGGTAAGACTTGCATAGCCTTACTATTAAGGAACAACATTGCTGTTAGTTTTTAAATTATTGACATGCAGTAATTGTAGGTGGACTTGCTGGCAGAGGTTGAGAAATAGCTGATTCTGAACAGATCCCACTTAGCATCACATTGCTCACATCCTGTAAAATAATTAGTTCCCTGGTTTCACTGGTAGAATTTTACAATATTATACTTGGTTCTAATTCCTCCTCATCACAACTTATCATTCACTTCTTACTGCAATCATCTTAAGATGTTAGGGAATCTCTTATAGCAGAAGTCTTTATGTGGAAAGTCAAGTTTCCAGAAAACAAAATCATGTGTGTATATATGTGCGCACACATAATTTAGAGAGAAGGAGAGAGAAATGAGGCTGAAGGTTGTTGCTAAGAGAGGATTATGCTAGGCTAAGTTTATCATCTTTATTTCTGCACTCATGTCATCAACAAGTTGTAGTGATTCGACTTAAAAGAACATTCATTATAGAAAGGAAACAAGTCTAGCCTGTGGCTGCTTAGCTCATGAATAACACAAACAGGATAATTTCAAACTGATGAAAGAAGACTGTATATAATAAGGATGCTAGACCATATGAAAGAAACATGGGAAGTTCTCACTCCAGTCTACCTAAAACATTACCTTTTTCTTTATTCTTGTATTATGGGACATGAGTCTTAGAATGAATGTGCTGGTGCGTTAAGTAGAGTAGAATTTCATAAATTTAAGAAAGAAGAACTTTGATATGAATAGTAAGACCTACTTTAAAACTTTTAATATAAAAAATAGATAAGACTGACTATAAAATGCTTTAATTATTGCCAAGCAGACATGAGCCAGAACATATTGGACTTAATCTGTGGGCTTTTTGACCCTGATAGTCCTCCACCCTCCTGCATCTGCCAGGTGAGTGGATTACTGATGGGAGTGTGTCATACCCACACTTGGGTGGGGCAGGAAACAAGACTTGGAACTACTGACCCAGACTGGAAGGTCTTAAACATCTTCCAGACAGTCTTATTTGTACCATTCACTTTCTTTCTACTGTGCTACAAAAGAAAACCTCAACTGGCTGCTGAATTGAAATGGTTATAAATGCTTGCAATTATAGATAATGGAGTTTCAGTGTAAAATTTCATTTTTGTTTTCAAAGCGTATATGTGCATATCATATAATGTAGAAAATGTAGAAAAGTGATATAAAAGAAAATATATTTCACCCATAATCTCATCACCTAGAGTCATTGTAGTCATTTTGGGTGTACATCTTTGGCAGCTAGTCTGAGACTAACTGTCCCAGTTTGTCCAGGACTCAGGAGAGTATCCTGGATATGGGATGTCTTGAGCTAAAACTAAGAAAGTCCTGGGCATAGCAAGATGAGTTGGTTGCCTCTGTGTGTGTGTGTGTGTGTGTGCGTGTGCGTGTTTGGTTCCTCAGTCGTGTCCAGCTCTTTGAGACCCTATGAACTGTAGCCTGCCAGGCTCCTCTGTCCATGGAATTTTCTAGAATTTTCTAGAAATGTCCATGGAATTTTCTAGAATACTGGAGTGGGTGCCATTTCCTCCTCCAGGGGATATAGTATTCTCCAAATTGAGAGTAACACAAGAATTGCTTGGTTAGTCCTGTCATCTCAGGCAACCAATGAAAAAGAAACAGAATAAACTAGTTGTTTTGGCTACTAAATTTTGGAGTGGTTTGGTTCTATCTATCTATCCACCCATCTATCATCTATCTAAAATTATTCACAGAGCTCTGTAACAGGATTTTAAAAATAACAGTGTATTGTGAATATTTCCATGTTTTAAAATTGTTCTCTGTGGCATCAGTTTTAATGGCTGCATGGAATTCCATTGAAGGGGCAACCACAATCTATTTAGCAATTTCCATATCACTGGACATTTCTGTTGCTTCCTATTTTTTACTCTGGCAAATAGCACTAACCCAAACATCCTTGTAGTTAAATGTTGGCATACAAACTCCATGGCCACTTTTTAAAGATTCTTAGAAACATAATATCAAAAGATATTATTGTGAAGGCTTTTGATGAATATTTCCAAGTTCCCTTCTTAAATGTGCTAATTTGCAGACGCACTGACCATATATGAGGATGTTCATTTTGCAAACAGTGGCTTTGTCACAGCAAAATAAGCTCCCAAACTCTGTCAACTTGACAAGTTAATAGGTCTTTCTTATATTCTACACTTCATCTCAGACACACCGGAGTGAGATACCTCTGGTCAGTTTAAAACTATGCCATGAGAATATGTGCTGTGCGGCAGTCCTGATATTTACATAAATCATTACTTAAGCACTCAACATCATCAAATATTTATTTAACTTCCACCGCGGGTTAAGAATTGCAACCATGAGCCTGGGTGCAACTTAGAATCTAGGTGAGAGA